TGCGTTTGTTCTGTGTTTGTATTATCCTGTGTTTAGGTAGATGCCTTGTGACGAGCTGATCACCCGTCCAAGGAGTCCTACCGTCTGTAAAATGATCATGAAACTGAGAAACCGGCTCTGTGCTCCAAAGTGGGAGCAAGATGAGAGAGAGAGAGAGAGAGAACATTCTGAGGTCACAAAAACTGGCGACATCATCTCATTTGTGGTCTATATATCCTGACTCCTAAAGGTACCGATTGAAATATAGGCCTGCAAGACCATAAACCTATCTGTTCTCATTCGGTTTTATGGGTGTGAAACTCGGTCTCTCTGCGTGAGGGAGAGAGGGTGTTTAAGGGCAGGGTGCGAAGAAGAATGGGGAAAATTGCAGAATGAAGAGTTTCATATTCGCATATATTTTCTGATATGATGCATTGTAAAATCTCTTCATTACACAGAAATAAGTATCTGAGTGAAAAGGTAATTTGTCTGAGCTGGAAAAAGTTTATACATCTCGAGATTCCATTATAAGCAGGGTTTTAGGTGTTGTCGCTGCATGTTGACTGTGCCAGATTTGTCATGGCTGATACTTATTCAATCTCGTGCTGTGTCACATCCGTGAAATTCCTCAGTGCACCTCCCAGTGCTCGAATTCTGATGTAAAGTGCAGTGTCAAGTCGGTCTAGATTCCACGCGACATGTTTTACAAGTCAAGGCATCATGACTGGGCACATAATTCACAGATTGCTTCCGTTCTGATTTTCTTCTTAATTACTTTTCCGGATTTAAATGACTACTGAAGTCTGCTTCAAGCTACGAACTCTTGAACCGTGGACCTTTACGAACTAATCACCGCAGCCCCGACTCACGTGGCACAGTACAAATAAAAGGTAAAATTAAGAACATCAACATGAGGATGTGGGAGCCGGGATAGCTCAGTCGGTATAGCGACTGGCTGCCGGCTGGACGACCGAGGGGTCGGAGTTCGAGTCCTGGTAGGGTCAAGAATTTTCTCCTCTTCACGTTGTTCAGACCTGCTCTGGGGCCCACCCAGCCTCGTATCGAATGGGTACTGTGGGCTCTTCCCCCCGGGGGTAAAGCGGCAAGGGCGTGAAGCTGACTACTCACATCCAACTAGTGGCGTAGTGCTTAATTAGTTAAGTTAGTTTAACATGAGGATGTATTTGACAGTTTGGGATTGGACGGAAGTGACTGGTCGGGTTCTTACACTAGCCGCTCTGCTCTCGGGTACCCATTGGATAAGAGGCTGAGTGCGTTGCCGAGCTGGTCTGGATACCGTGCAGAAGAGAGAAATGTGCGTGCTAGAGTTCATTTTCCCGATGTACCCTCTCCTCTAGAACAAGGTCTAAATTACAATATAAATATGTCTAGTTCAGTTTTTTGTACTGAGCACACTTTAAAACCCCGACATATTTCATTCACACGAAACCATCTTCAGTGGGTGTGTCGTATTAAAGAGAAACCTACAGTTCATATGAAGAAGTAAAAGCTATCCCTCTAAGGCGGCCCATACACGTACGAGTCTGGCTCGCGAGTCCGGCTCGGCGAGGAGCCGGGCTCAGATTAATTTAACCACACACGTATGAGCTTGGCGACCCACACACGGACGAATTTGGCTCATTGGAACCCGAGCCGAGTCGGACTCGCTAGCCAGACTCGTACGTGTATGGGCCCCCTAACAGGCTATGGAGGCCCATAGGTTAGTGAGACGTGGAAACCTCCCACGTTTTTCTAGACAGTCGACTCACAGATGGCGCTGAGGTTTTCTGCCTCACACGCCAGCCACCCATTATCCCTAGAGACTCCTGGTGCTCATTTCTGTCAGAGGCTGAGTCGACTCCAGGGCCATAGTGCGGCTGGAAGGATTAGGTCAACTGAAAGATCCAGTTAACTCATTGGGAGTCGGTTCCGCGCCCTTCCGGCTTTTAGCATAGGCCCTCAACCAACTATGTTACCGCGTGCCCCCATAAATGAAAAGTAAAAGGTTTAAAATATCCATGTTATAAATTTCTTATAGAATGTTACAAGTAACAATATTCGTATTATTACTGAACTGCAAAAGAAAAAAATAGGGCTTCTGTATGAATTTATGTGGCAGTGCAAAATTTAGCGGGCCCACGAGTTGAAGAGTGAGTATTGTTCATAATGTGATGCTTACAAAGGAAACTGAAGTTTTCAGTTCGATAGATATGAAGATAACACAATTCTGTTCTCTCAAAACGTGAACGTCGTCTTTATAAAACGACTCTCATTAACTTCGTTGAGGACCACACAACTGCTGCGTTACCACCTTGACCTACTAACAAATTCCCACAGCAGATGCTAAGTAGAGCCTGGGACTCATGCATCGGAGCTTCCAGCTGCATTGTCTTTGGCATATTCACTGATTCGGTTACATGATCGGTATCTGTTTCTTGCACCCACATGCTCTTACAGAAGACTCGCGAATTTTATACTCTTGGGGCCTAATAATATATGTATTTAAAACAAAGGGATATTTTATAAAGCTCTTAATCTGAGTCTTCGTGATTAACTATTTCCTCTATACTATTTCCCAGGCTCATTGTTCGTGGTATGCAGAGCGTTACGGAAAGAGTATTGCCTAATATGTGTGTCTGAAACACGTATTAAAACAGCGTGGTGCCATCCTTCTAGAGGGTTAGACCTTAGGAATTTTGAAAAAGACTGATATTGCCATGAATGTGCTTATTTGCTACCGCACAGATTTCTTATGCGAAGTGATAGTGATTCATCACACCACAGTATTTCGTAGTAACTGTGTTATTGTAGTTCCTCTTCTTCAGTTATCACGAATTAGGCCATCTGGGTTGCTCCGATTCACGATTAAATCCCGAAAACATGAATCGCGTTTCACATCAGGTGTGACTCTTGTAGTGGGGTTTCGGCCCATTGCAAAAGTTCTACTTACACAGGACAACGAAACGCAGCCGAAAAACTAGGGCATACCATAAATCAGCTCCTCTGCTGGTATTCGAAATTGTGATCCCATTGTTCGAGAGACTCAAGGCAATGAACAGGCTTTGAGACCTATCCAGCGAGGCTATTGTAGTCGACACGATGTTTTTGTCTTTTTCTTTCATTTTCATAAAGTAATTACCATTACATTTCGGAAATGCTTGTTATTATTCACTTCAGAATCTGTTGCCTTCCCGTCTGTCTACAGACGTGCTGGTTAAAACGTACAAATTTAAAAATAGTCTTGCTGGGCTTTAAACTCCGTCTGTCGACCACAGGCAAGACCACAACATAGACAGAGGGCGTATAGAACAAATTACTTAGGAAATCATTTGAAGCAGAGATAATAATGAAGCGAACAGAGCAATGGGAACTTCATAATTTATTCTCCTTGCTTAAATAAGTCAGACTTTGCAAGAATGTATGATGAATTAGGCGAATTGTTTCTGCTGCCGTGCGCTTTGCTAGCTTCAAACCTACACGCCACAATAAAACTACACAAACCTAACACACCTATTAGACCAATAATAAACTGGAAGAACGCCCCAGCTTACGAAATGACAAGAAAATTAGCGAAAGTATTGCATGAGTATCTGGAACTGCCAAACGCGTACAATGTCAAAAACTCCTCCCACCTAATGATAGATTTACAAACTATTAAACTTAACGAAAACATGAGATTATGTTCTTTTGACATTGAAAACATGTATACAAATATACCAAAAACTAACACCCTAAATATAATAAACACTATATTGGAAAAAAA